ACTTAACGCAGTTTCAAGTTACAAAATATTCGAATTTATTGCTCAGCTGTAAGTGGTTTTAAAATCAATTTTTGCTGCCCAGGACACTCATGGGAAATTGAAACCAATACGCCCATTTTTGTCTTTAAGTGATACACAAATAAAAAACAACAAAAAATAATAAGAAAGGCACGAAAAATGGCGGCAAAATGGGGCAAAATGGGACAACAAAAAACGCAACTTGGCACGCGTTTGCCTTGGTTTTGGCTTTGGCTTTGGCTTGGGAGTTTCTCTTGTTGTTGTCCACCAACTGCTGCTTGGGGGTATACACCACCGCTCGTTGTAGAAAGATGAGGCAGAGAAAAACCAGCTTGAAACTCTTGGCAAAGAGCCGACACACTAATTTGATGGCTTTTTTGTTGCTACTGGCGAAAAGGGGCGACAAAACGTTTGGAATTTGCCACTAGTACTGCAGTGGCTGTAACTTTAGGTTGCAATTGAAATACAAGTCTGGAACATTCGAATTTGGTTACATGAAGTCTATTTTAAATATGGAAAATATCTAATATTTGTTGTCTTGTTTCAAATCATATTATTTTATTATTCAAATTTTGTTGCATGTACAAAAGAAACCTTTACAAAATGCATCTGGCTGTGTGTTATTTCAGTTTATTTTTGGTCTTGCATTTGCATCATCTTTTGTTTAGCAATCTTCCAATCAAAACAGACATTCTGTTATATATCGCCCTGCAGCTGAATTTCAAAACAAAGGCACAGATACTCTGCAGACACACACACACACACACAAAGTAACTGCTGTAAACAATCTTTCATCTTGTAAATTGCGCGTGTTAAAAATGCATCCAAACAAAAACAAAAAAAAATAAGAATAAGGTTTCTCTGAAAAGAAGAGCAGCCAAAAGACAAAACGAACTTAATTTAAACGACAACCAAAAATAAATTGGTGCAAAAAAGAAAAGATAAAAAAAAGAAAATGCTTTACAAGGATGGAAGTAAAACGAAACAGATAAAAACATAGTGAAGCCATGAGAATAGATACACTGCCATGGATGTGAACTAAATATATGTGGATATAATAGATATATATATATGAACATTGATAAAGATATTGAAATAATATAATCTGCTATATATGTAGATATAGTAGCATTATTTTAAGCAGATTTAACTGAGAAATAAATAATAAAATAATAAATTATAATAAGTAAATAATAAAATAGTAAATTCCAGGGCCTGCTCCGCACTAGACAAAAACGAAGACCGACCGATGTGCGCTGCCGCATGGAGCGCAAGCCAGTTGCAGTTATTTGTTTGGATTATCTTTAGAATCAAGTACAAGACGATAGTTTTAACTGAAAGCTATAACACTTATGTTTATTTAAAGATACTTTTGAGCATACCAAATCTGATTTAAATATATATCTTCAAAACTGTAGAAAATGGCTATAAATACTCAGCTGCAGAATATCTTTCTTTCTCTACGTTCATTCGAATTTCCTAGCCCGTAATACCCTCTCTCTCCGTCTTTGAAAGAGTATTAAAAAAGTTGGTGGGGGGGGGGGGTAAAATTCCAACAACAATGGAAACCACAAAGCGGCGCTTTTGTTTGCCCGTGTCGCATGCAGTCAATCTATCTATGTGTGCGTGAGTGTGTGTGTGTGTGTGTGTGTATCTGTGTAAGAGTGCGAGAATATGTGTGCATGTTTCGCCTGCCAATCAACTCAACAATCGCAATCAATTTGCTCCGCTGCAAAACCCCTCCTTACTTCCTCCTTGCTTCCTCCCTCCTTCCTGCATCAACCGTTCCATTCCATTTGGGGCGCATTGTCATGGTGCAAGTGCAACTGTCATTTCAAGCGCAATCTCTGCATATGTATGTGTGTGTGAGCGTGTGTTGGAGAGACGGAGTGCGCCCGAGGGTGGATAAATGTGTGATATATCAGCGCAAGCCAAAAAAAAAGAAAACAAAAAATAACACAAAAAAAATAAAAGATGTCTGGATACGCCGCAATGCATTTTTTAATTACGATACTGCGACATTGAGGACCCGCACTCATACCCCATATATCACATGAATGAATCATAGCCTTAAGATACGACACTGTTTATAGGAGGGGGTGGGTGGTGAATAAAGTTGTAGATGTAGGAGGAGACGTAAATCAACGATACATGCATGTCGGTGCTGCAATACATATTCGCAATAATTTACTGCTTTTATTCAAGGCAGTTTTTGTTATGGTTTTCAGAAGCTATTCGATCTAAGCCTACAAGCTAAGGCCGCTTGAGAGTCGTATGGATCGTGAGAGCGCTAACAGTGCGCTGTAACCAGATCGGCGGCCACAGGCTGTTAAAGCAGAGTGATAGCAGGCTGTTAAAGCAAAGTGATAGCAGGCTGTTAAAGCAGAGCGATATCAGGCTGTTAAAGCAGAGTGATAGCAGGCTGTTAAAGCATAGAGATAGCAGGCTGTTAAAGCAGAGGATAGCAGGCTGTTAAAGCAGAGTGATAGCAGGCTGTTTAAGCAGAGTGGTAGCAGGCTGTTAACTTGGAGTGTTAACAGAGCTGTTGCCCTGTTGTAGCTGTTGCCCTGATCTTTGGCACAAAGGGTAAGGAGACAACAAAGTGTTTGACTTGAGAAAGAAGAAATGTGTGTGTGTGTGTGTGTGGTGCTGTGGCTTTCCTAAGTCAACTTTCCACATCCGCTTTTTGCTGATTAATTTTTAATCCCTTATTCATTTTTTCGAGTATACCCTTTGGCAAAGCCCTGATTAAATCCCCGCAAATACTTCATTTAGTTCTTAGCCAAAAAAGAAACTTTTTATGTGTGTCGTACAAGGAAACAACAAAAACTAAATATACGCCAGCAAAACCCAAAAACAAAACTGGCAACGCATCCCTGCCCAGCCTTCAGCGGTTGGCCTTAAAGTTGTCCAAATTTATGAGCATTATATTCGCATCATAATCATCAGCATAATACGCATACGTAGAAATTTGCAAAGTATTGTTATGCTAAATTTATATGCCACCCCCCACCCGCACCCCATGGCCATGCCATCTGTTGGCGAATGTGGTGTCCTTGTTGTTGTTATTGTTGTTTGTTAACTTCATCAGAAGTGCGATTGAAACGCAACTTCCGTTTCCGCAAAATGGCTGCCAATGTGTGTGTGTGTGAGTGTGTGAGTGTGTGTGGGGGGGTGGAGAACTCAGCTTTCACTTCACTTTTGCCAGCAAACAAATCAACATGAACTTCCGTTTCATTTCGCTTTTTCTTGCCATTTCATATTCTTTTGCAAGTTCTTCCCACTCACGCCTCCACGTCTTCTGCACCCTTACCCCCTACCCCACCCCGCTCTCACTCTTTTTCACCAGCCCACTCAACTCTCAATTTTTATTTTCTCTTTACTGTGTGCATTTCGGTGACTTTAGCGTAAATTTACTTTTCACTTTCAGCGCCATCAAAAAAAAAAAAGTTTTTTTCTTGTTGTTGTTGTGCATAGCTAACTTTTTGGCTCACATTACGTATGTATATTTTCCATATTTTTGTGCCACCTCTTACGCTCCACCTGCCTTTTTTTTTTTTGGGTTTCCTCTGGGGCGTTGCCTTTTCAATGTCATTGCACACATCGCGAAAACTCTCGTGTGTGTGTGTGGGGAAAACTTTGTCTCTTTTTTGGCATTTCATTTCCTTCATTTCAGCCGTTTTCACCTTGCAGCGGTTTTCCTCCCTCTTTGTGAGTGTGTGTGTGTGTGCCATAGCTGCAGCAAGGGCGGATGTTACAGTTGCTTCATGGCTGCTGCTGCTTTTTGTTATACTTTTACTTTTTGCTTAATTTAATGCTCGACTGCCTATTTAAATTTTCGCTGTGTGCCGTCTCTGCATTTCCAATTTTGTTTTGTCATTTACATTTCGTTGGTTTGGTGTTGGTGTTGCTGTTCGTGTGTGTTTTCCCAATCGAAATCAATCAGCGACCAGGGCCCGGGCACACGTGTGTGCATTGATATCATTGTGGGGTGGGGGTGGTGCTGGTGCTGGTGGTGGTTGTCCAATAATAGGCATAGCGAAATGAAAATGTTTATTTGTGGCATGAGAATTATCAAATTTGTATTTTTTTTTTTGCAAAAGATTTGAGAGTTTTTGCTGCTGCATACTTTTAGGCAGCGATTTGATTGAAAGCGAAATGGAACAATGGAAATAATAATAGAAGGGGGGGTACTTCATGTGAGGCAGGGCAGAGAAAACAATTGGCAGGAGATTTGGCTAAATAAAGATGGCAGACTAAAGTTAGAAATGTGGCAGAAAATGGCAAAATTAAGGTAGATCATGAGTTAAAGGCTGGAAATAACATAATAAGTGGCACTTTAATAATTCAAGTGAATTAAAGGACAAGATAAGAATCGAATAAATAGGGGCTACAGCTACAAGAAGGAGAACTTGTAAATTAATATTAATATAATATTATCCATATTAATTAATTAATTTTGCCATTTTCTGCCACATTTCTAACTTTAGTCTGTCATCTTATTAATATCAATATTAATTAATTAATATTAATTATATTAATACTAATATAATATATAATATAATATATGTATATTAATATTTATTAATTAATATTGATAGTATTATAATATATAATATAATATAATATAATATAATATAATATAATATAATATAATATAATATAATATAATATAATATAATATAATATAATATAATATAATATAATATAATATAATATAATATAATATAATATAATATAATATAATATAATATAATATACATATACATATGTACACAGAACTTTGTGCCAAAAGATACTTAAGGAATTTCGTGGGAAAACGTAAACAAATAACACATTAAAATCAGGGACCGTAAATAATAATTATAATTTTTATGTTTAATAAAAAAATCACATACTTATAATAGGCATACAAAAAATGGATTACACCAAAATCTTTGTTTTTGTGCAAAATACATTTAAAATAAATCGATACCACTTTTTATTTAAACTCAAAAATTGTACAAAAATTCAGTTACGTTTTCTCTTTTGCCCCTGCTGTTGTCTTTGGCCGCCAGCAGCAAAGACTGCCCTGAGCAGTCGCCAAACAGCAAATGGCAGAACCAACAGCAGTAGCCACAGCAACGCAAAGATGATCAACAGGACATCCACATTGTGATATTGCCACCAGTTCAACCGTTGAGCAGCACTCTGCAAATAGGCGGCACCCTGATGCCGCGTCACATGCTCCACCCAATAGACGGCATTCTGCAGTGGCGTCTGCTGCTGATCGCGATAGCGGTGGGACATGCCGCGCACAACCGCCGTGTAGGCGGGCACACCGGTGATCCGCTCGATGGCTGCCCGAAAGTCGCCGGCATTCAGTGACTTAAAGTCCAGCATAATGCCATAGCCCGTCTGTTCGGCATGGGCCATATTGAAGAACTGATCGCTGAAGATGGGCAGACCGATGACGGGCTTGCCATGATAGATGGACTCCGTGGTGCTCAGCATGCCGCCGTGGGTGACAAAGGCCAGCACCTTGGGATGCGCCAGTATATCCGTTTGCGGGAACCAGTCCGAGATGAATAAATTATCGGGTTTATTTGGCAGATCGTGCAGCTCGAATTTCCACAGCACACGCTGCCTGAGGCCCCTGAAGGCTTTCAGTATCTCTTGGACTTTCGCTGGCGGCAAATCCTTGCTCTTGAGATTCGAACCCATTGAGAAATAAATGGCTCCATGTTCGCTTTCGTTGAGGAACTTCTCAATCTGTGCGGGCAGCGGTCTTAGCTTGCCGTCGATGTGCATGCCACCCACCTCGATCAGGTTGGGCGCATTGGGACGCGGAAAACTGAGCGACACATGCTGATTGATGAGCACCAGCGAGGCATTGCGACGCATCGCATAAAAGCAGCGCTTGTTGTGCGGGAAAAACTCCCGATAGAGCGCCTCCTGTCCGGGCAGATAGTAGTAGTCCAGCAGGAGACGTTCATAGGCCAGAAAAGCCACATTGACGAGTCGCTCAGGCAGCGACATGTGATCGTTGAAGGGCAACATTATGTGCGGCACAAACGAAGCGGGCGCTGGCGAGCCCACCTGCGGCATTAAACAGAAAGTTAGTTAAGCTCCAGCTTAGTTTAATTCTTAAGCAAATGAAATGAAACACCCACCATATCCGTAATGAAGGTCAGTCCGCCGCCCGTGCTCAGGCCAATGAGCGGGGCCTGGAAATGCTCCGCCAAGCCGTAGTGTGCATCATTGTAGAAGGTCTCACAGATGATGGCATCGAAAGTTCGATTGCTGTGCAGCAGTGCCTGAAAGTTGGCATCCACAAAGAGGCCGCGAGTCAGCCGAAAGCCCATGTCATAGTGATCTATGAGCTTTCGGGTGACCGGTTTCTGTATGGACTGCCAAAGGGCGGCCAGATCACCTGGCAAAGAAAGTTTAACATTCGAATTGCAGAGGAAACTGAGCAACATTTATTCGCCATGTACATACCCTTCATAACTTGTATTATATTTGGCACGATTATGTCCTCATATCCGGGCATGGGTTCTTTTAGGGGAAACACAGAAACCACTGTGATTTGATGACCCGCCTGCACCAGACCCTTGGCCAAGGCGTGACCCACATTGAAGTGCGATCGTCCCGGTGAGTTGAGGACCATCAGGAACTTGTAGCCATTACAGCAGCTCAGGCTGAAGAGCAGCGCCACACACAATGCAAGAATACGCATGCTGATGAAACTGAAGAGCGAGGAGCGTGGAGCGAGCTCTATAACGACCGCACGGAGCACGTTGCTGCCTCAGACTGAACGCATTCTTATAGATATGCTTCTCATATATACATGTACATTTAATTATTGTGAAATTCGTATATTCTGCGTGAGCACTGGACACAAGCAGAACTTCAAGTCGATTGATGTATGCCCTACACTATAGAAATAGTGCCTAACAGTCGGTCTAGCAGATATGCCCCCAATGAAAGTATTCTTTAATAATATCTTATCTAAAGAATTAGCTAATATTTTGAAATAATTGGCTAAATGTTGATGTCTATGCAATCACGTAGTGTAGGGAACTCAAGAGCTTAATGAAATGTGCTGATTAATCAATTATCTGAAGAGAACACTGACAAAACTTGTTTGCGAAATAAGAGAACTTTGAGAACTAAAGAGAAAAAAGGAGGACGAATTGAAGATGTAGAAGTAATGAGCACGAAGAATGAACAAAGTCGGAGAACGGTCTCCCATCGTTCTCAGAGAGTCGTAACAGCGAGCAGTAACAGCGAGTATTAACAGAAAGCAGTAACAGCGAGCAGTAACAGAAAGCAGTAACAAAAAGCAGTAACAAAAAGCAGTAACAGCACGCAGTTAGAACAAGCAATAACAGCAAGCAGTTACAACAACCAAGAACAGCAAGCAGTTACAACAACCAATAACAGCAAGCAGTTACAACGATCGGTAACAGCCAGTTAACGGAGCAGAAACAGACTGGTAATTATGATGTTAACGGCGTTATTCATCTGTTCATAATCTTCCATAAATAATGAATAATGAAAATAAATATTAAATACATTTGAGATTATTTTTGGGTTTTAATGATCTATAGTACAGATTCTATACTAAAATATATGAATGAAAACAAAATTAAACAGATAAAAGATAATCTACAAAGGTTTGAAGAGGTACACAGAATGAAGATGCATCAGTTTTAGTTGGTGCTAAAGATACCAAAATAGGCATTGGGGCCTAAACCACATTACCATCTAAGTCAAAACCATCTCCGTTAAAAAAAATAATGCATAGACAAAAATGATCCCTAATCAATTGTATGTGAAAAACATTAAAAGTCTTCAGTCTGGCTCTATCCATTTATTTGCTTTACTGATGCTGCCGTTAGTATGCCAGGTCTGTGGCTACTCCTACCTGTTGGGGCTCCAAACGGCCTTCAAGTCTGGTCAAGGCTGTCCATTAGGTCACACTGATTTGTCCATTCCCACAGACAAAACCATTGAAGAATCTGATCGATGTGAACACGCCGAATATAATCAACGCAATGGCCAGTGAGTATTATGATCTAAGCCAACTTCTCCACACACCACACACAGCTGTTTGCCCGGCAGCTGTCACGTAGAAACTTATCGCTGGGAATTCCAGGCACGACAAACTGATAACACAGACGAGAATTATCACAGAAACTTGCAAAGATATGCTTCACCATGAGGGATACCCTCAAAGCTGACTCAAAATTATTCTCAGTCTAATTTTTTTGATTAAAATAAAAAAAAAAAAAAAATTCTCAAACTAAAAGTCATATAAAGCCGCAATGGTGATGAAATTTTATTGACTAAATTCTTTTTTATCCGCTTGAAGCCCAACTGCAAAAATTACGAAATTATTCTCACTCCAACCATAACTAATAAGGGAAGAGTCTGAACTGATCGAAACACTCCATAAATAAAGCAATACGTGAGAGCGTGCAAAGCATACAAATATATTGCCAATACTCATCCAAAGAAATCGAACAAACGAGAGAGCGTGCGACTGCAAAAGAGGCGCAACTGCGGAGAGAGAAATTAATATACACTTGACATATGCAGAGAGCGCGTAACAGGAGAGTGAGACCCAAAACACTGCCTTATCATCGCAAAGCAGGGTGATCTAATAGTCATCATGCAGCTGCTTATAATTACGCCACAGCCGGCGAGAATTTACTCAGTTAGCTTCGATTCGCCAATGCGTTAGCAGCGATTGCGACTCTATAGAATTTATATAGAAAACGAAAAGCAATAATTAACGCAAATTAATCGTATTTAATTCTAACATGAAGCTACCTGGCCACAAAACAAGTTTCGCGGCGCTGCTGCTGCTCTGCCTGCTGAGCTGCGTCTCGGCCTACAATTATCTGGTGGTGCTGCACACGGCAGCCCGCTCCCACTACCACGTGGGATCGGCCCTGGCCAAAGGTCTGGCTGCAGCGGGCCATCAGGTGACCATCGTCTCGCCCTTTGAACTGAAGAAACCGATCAAGAATATTAAGGATGTGAATGTGCCCGGCGTTTTGGAGGCGATGAAAGGTATTACATATCGAAGCACGTAGTGCATTATCTTTCGACTGGATTACGTTTAATCTTATCGAAATGATTCGGCTATTTTCAGGCAATATTGCCAATCTATTGGAGAAATCGAGAGAGTCGATTGTGACGCGTATCATTGACTTCCATCACATGGGCCTGGCCATAACCGATGCCCTGCTGCGCGATCCCAGTGTGGTGGAGCTAATGCAATCGAATCAGACCTACGATGCCGTCATCTCTGAGGTCTTCCTCAACGAGGCGCACTTCGGTCTGGCGGAGCATTTCAAGGCGCCACTCATCGGATTGGGCACCTTCGGGGCCATCAGCTGGAACACAGAGCTGGTAAGAGTTTCCCAGGATATACATAAATAAAAGGTTCCTTACGATTTGTGTTCCCCCTTAGGTTGGAACACCCTCACCGCCCTCTTATGTGCCGCATGCCATGATGAAGTTCTCCGATCAAATGTCGCTGCTGCAGCGCATAACCAATCTGGCCTTTGTCTCGTACGAGTATCTCTTCATAAACTACTACTACCTGCCCCTGCAGGAGGCCATCTACCGGCAGTACTTCCCCAATAACAAGCAGGACCTCTACGAGACGCGCAAGAACACAGCTCTGGTGCTGCTCAACCAGCACGTCTCCCTGAGCTTCCCCCGTCCCTACTCGCCCAACATGATCGAGGTGGGCGGCATGCACATCAACCGCAAGCGTCAGCCACTGCCCAAGGACATTGAGGAGTTCATCGTGGGAGCCAAGCAGGGCGTCATCTACTTCTCGATGGGCTCCAACCTGAAGAGCAAGACACTGCCCCTGGAGAAGCGTCAGGCGCTGTTGGACACCTTTTCCCAGCTGAAGCAGCGGGTGCTGTGGAAGTTCGAGGACACGGAGCTGCCCGGCAAGCCGAAGAATGTCTTCATCTCGGACTGGTTCCCGCAGGACGACATCCTGGCCCACGACAATGTGATTGCCTTCATCACCCACGGTGGCCTGCTGAGCACCACGGAATCGATCTACCACCGCAAGCCCTTCGTCGGCATCCCCATCTTCGGCGATCAGTTCCTCAATATGGCGCGGGCCGAGCAGAATGGCTACGGTGTCACCGTGAACTATGAAGAGCTGACAGCTCCCAGGCTGCTGGCAGCCATTGAGCGGCTCATCCACGATCCAGAGGCCACCAAGAAGGTGCAGGACATGTCCGATCGCTATCGCGATCAGCTGGAGACGCCCCTGGAGCGGGCCGTCTTCTGGGTGGAGCACGTGACGCGGCACAAGGGCGCCAAGTATCTGAGGAGTGCCTCACAGGATCTGAACTTCATTCAGTACCACAGTCTGGACGCCATTCTGATCCTGTACGGAGGCATTATCTTTGTGCTGTACTGTTTGGGTTTGCTGATTCGTCGCGTGTGGCGCCTGCTTCAGGAATTGTTTGTTGGCAGAGCAAATGACAAGCCAAAGCCCAAGGCAAAGCTTAATTAGAGTTTAGTTTCGTATGCGAATTAAATCTTTGCATATAAATAAATGTGTGTGTGTGTCCAGAATAAATTTAGATGTTTTTTCTTTTACTTAAAATTAGAGAAAACATTTTATTAAATTACCTCTGATATTAACAAAGCGATTGGATGCTACGGTGAGAGTGCTTATAGCGCTAGAATCAACTGATTCCCTAAAATAAATACTGAGGTTAACTCCCATAGCCTTTATAATTTCCATACCCCAAGTGGATTTAGTTATAATATTTGAGTTCCCATAACATTTTTCTCTCCTATTATTTACGCTGCTGCGGTAACCAAACGTCCGAAGACCAGCAGCAGGTAGAGGAAATCTTATCTGATCGACAACAAGAAACATTCTTCCATGCCCAACGAAAGCCGGTGATCAAAGCAAAACAAGAATCAACGAAACACATTTAAGAAAGACAGCATAAGCCCAAGCCAGAGAGCTGATGCAGAGCGAGAGAGAGCGAGAGAGAGCGAGCGCGAGTGAGAGTGAGAGTGAGGGTGAGAGAGAGGTAAGCGAACATGCTAGAGCGAGCCGCAATAATGACAGAAGCAGACAGCGAGTGAGTGAGCGTGGAAAGAGAGAGCGAGAGCTGAAACAAAGCAATCATATCGATACGCTTAACAGGTGCCTACATACATACATACAAACATATGTACATGTGTAGATTTGTAAGTTTAAATGCTAGAAAATATTTTGGGCTGCGTAATGATGAAGCAGGCGAACCAGGCAGCCAGACGTTCCCATGCGGCGGCGGGTCTGCTCGCTCCAACAAAACACTTGAGAAATTCTGGTTTTCGGTCACAGCTAAACAGGGCAGCGTCATGCAGCCAAATGTCCAGCACATTATCGTAGGGTGTTACTCCAGCAATTAAGACCTAGCCCAAGCCAGGCCAGGCCACAGCTGGTTCTGTCTATAAATTACCACACTGCCGGCGTGAATTCCCTCAGTTCGTTGCGGCGTGCCAACGCGTATATATCGTTAGAATATCAGCTGGAGCTGAGTAGCCCAACTACAACCAACCAACCTACATACACACACACACACATACATACATATCTCCAATTTTACAACTGGCAGCGCGATTAGTTGCCCAATTAATCGCGTATTTAATTCTAACATGAAGCTACCTGGTAACAGAACAAGTTTCGCGGCGCTGCTGCTGCTCTGCCTGCTGAGCTGCGTCTCGGCCTACAATTATCTGGTGGTGCTGCACACGGCAGCCCGCTCCCACTACCACGTGGGATCGGCCCTGGCCAAAGGTCTGGCTGCAGCGGGCCATCAGGTGACCATCGTCTCGCCCTTTGAACTGAAGAAGCCCATCAAGAATATTAAGGATGTGAGTGTGCCTGGCATACTGGCTGCCATGCAGGGTGAGTGTCTTGTCTTTTTTTTGTTGGTTGTGTTCGATGGGAGAGTGTCGTCCAGCCAATTGCATAATCAATTGCAAAGTAATTCCTCTTTTTTTTGTTTATTATTAAATGTGTGTTTAGGTTGGAAAACAAATAAGAAAATTTCCTGTATATAAAATTTTCACACCGTGAACATTTTTGTTACTTTTTTTCCCCTAAATGTATAACCTGATTAAGCTGCCATAAAAGTTAGCTTGTTTTTCAAAATAAATACACATTTAATAATAATAATAAAAACAAAACAAAAAATGATTTTACAATGAAAATTTAATGGTTATAATAAGATAAATGTTTATTAAAAATTAACTGTAAAATATTAGGAATGAAACGTTTTTTATTTAATTATGACAGGATTCTGGTAGGGAGATCCAGGGGATGGCACCTTTCGGGTCTTCTCTTTCTTGGCCTATTAGTAAGACGTCTGGCTAGAGCGTTTGGGTGATCAGGAAGGCGTAGCAGATATTTTGTCACCCACTTTCGGAACCCTTAGATCGCGTTCAATGTCCTTATTAGGCATGTACCAGGGAGCATTCATTATTCTCCTTAGAAATTTTGATTGTACAATTCGTATTTTGCTTAGATTGCTTTCCATTTGGGGATTAGTATGGACTGTAGAGGTAGTTTTTCTGCCTTAGGGAAAATAATTCCCACAGCAAACAAAGTGCAAGTAGAGAGGGTGTCTTGCGTTCGGCCTACCATTTGTGGCGTACCCCTGGCATATAAACGCATTCGAGCTACTGGCCTATCAGCGTCTTGCACAATCTAATCGGCCCTTGTATTTTCTTTGACCATTTGCAGGCAATATAGCCAACCTTTTAACCAGTTCGAAGGAACCGATTGTTAAGCAAATTGTCAACTTCCATCACATGGGCCTGAACATCACCGATTATCTGCTGAGCCAGCCGGCTGTGGTCGAACTGATCAACTCCAAGCAGACCTTTGATGCCGTCATCACCGAAGTATTCCTCAACGAGGCACATTTCGGATTTGCGGAGCATTTCAATGCACCGCTCATCGGACTGGGCACCTTCGGCGCCATCAGCTGGAACACAGATCTGGTAAGAGTTTCGCATTGAGTTAACACACCACAAAAAAAATGGGGACACACATCTGACGGTTCACTTTGCAGGTTGGAACACCCTCACCGCCCTCCTATGTGCCGCATGCGCTGCTCAAGTTCTCCGATCACATGTCGCTGGTGGAGCGTGTGGCCAATCTGGCGTTCGTGACGTACGAGTATCTCTTCCTGAACTTCTACTACCTGCCCCACCAGGAGGCCATCTACAGGAAACACTTCCCCAACAACAAGCAGGACTTCTACCAGATGCGCAAGGACACAGCTCTGGTGCTGCTCAACCAGCACGTCTCCCTGAGCTTCCCCCGTCCCTACTCGCCCAACATGATCGAGGTGGGCGGCATGCACATCAACCGCAAGCGTCAGCCCCTGCCCAAGGACATTGAGGAGTTCATCGTGGGTGCCAAGCAGGGCGTCATCTACTTCTCGATGGGCTCCAACCTGAAGAGCAAAGATTTGCCCCTGGAGAAGCGTCAGGCGCTGTTGGACACCTTTTCCCAGCTGAAGCAGCGGGTGCTGTGGAAGTTCGAGGACACGGAGCTGCCCGGCAAGCCGAAGAATGTCTTCATCTCGGACTGGTTCCCGCAGGACGACATCCTGGCCCACGACAATGTGATTGCCTTCATCACCCACGGTGGCCTGCTGAGCACCACGGAATCGATCTACCACCGCAAGCCCTTCGTCGGCATCCCCATCTTCGGCGATCAGTTCCTCAATATGGCGCGGGCCGAGCAGAATGGCTACGGTGTCACCGTGAACTATGAAGAGCTGACAGCTCCCAGGCTGCTGGCAGCCATTGAGCGACTCATCCACGATCCAGAGGCCAGCAAGAAGGTGCAGGACATGTCCGATCGCTATCGCGATCAGCAGCAGACGCCCCTGGAGCGGGCCATCTTCTGGGTGGAGCATGTGACGCGGCACAAGGGCGCCAAGTATCTGAGGAGTGCCTCACAGGATCTGAACTTCATTCAGTACCACAGTCTGGACGCCATTGTAATTCTGTATGGCGGCATTATCCTCGCTTTCTACCTTCTGTTTGCGTTGATTCGTCTTCTGCTGCGCTCCCTGCAGGAATGCTGTGCCGGCAGGTCGGAGGCCAAGTCAAAGTCAAAGCCAAAGGCTAAACGAAATTAGAGTACGCACTGTCCGTCCCCAGCCAGTATAGATTTCAAAAGAGGCTCGGCTCAATTTTATGTGTGCTCTGCTCTGCTCTGGAATTTTTCCTGTAATTTTAAATATTTTTGTACGCATTGTGAACATTTTTAAGCCATTAAGAGATGCTATAGAAACGAATATTACGGCTCAATAAAGGTGCTAAGAACTTGTTTGTGAATGCAGTCTACTAAATCGCAATATTCCATAAAAGAGAACAAAAAATTTCCATCAATTTCTGGGCGTCTGGGCCAAAAACAAAGATAGATCCGTTAAGAGTATATCTATGTACATACTGTATCTGTATATATATATATCTATCTGCTTATATCTGCTTGCTGGTGACCATTATTTTTTTTTGTGTGTTCTTGAAGAGCTCATGAAAATTTAATTTGATTTTTGGGTGGCAAAAAGTGTGTGCGGTTGTGGTTCCGCTTTGGGGACCCCGCCGGGCTGCGAAACTTGTAAACTAAAATGGGAAAATATTGTGAACTTCTATCGAAAAAATGCCATAGTTGCCTCTGTCTCTCTCCCCTCTCTCTCCCTCTCTCTCACTCTTTCCGCTTCTTACTCGCTTTTTCTTTTGCTTTCTCTGTCCTGGCTTTCTGTGTGATGATGCTGCTGCTGCTGCTCCTACGACTGCTGCAAGTTGCACATAGTTAACGCTTCAGTTGTAAAAATGCCCATCAGCGCGTTCAAATTTTTAACAGCAACCAACTGAGTGCCACGCCTTCCACCCCACCCCACCCTATCCCATCCCACGCCCAACACCCACAACCAACTGCCACAAAACGCCCCTCGGCCGAATGCTTTTATTTTCTTTTGCCGTGGCAGCAGTCGCCGCACCGCATCCCGCTCGCCATTATTTTTCCACCGCTCTGGACGACTTGGCCAAAAGGCGTGTAAAAGTTTTTAGCACAACTTATTGAAACTGTTTTGGGCCATGGCCATGCTGCTGGAAAATCAACGTCCGTCGCGGAAATGTTGGCGGCTTTAATGCCAGTTTCCGCCTTAAAATTACAGCCATCAAGTAATTGTTCTTGTGGGGCAGGAGGCAGCAGCTAAAAAATATGATGCAACCTCAAAAAAGGAAGCTTATTATTTTGTTAGAAAGCGACTGTCATTTGAATGTCATGATTATCTGTTATATTATATGTATTATCTGTTACATTCTACGCTTATTGAGTATATAATATTACGTAAATATATTGGAAAATGATGCATAGATACGCGACACCTTCTATAGGCTAAACTTTTGAAAAATTAATAATTATAATTAAGAGCACATTCTTAGAACTCAATTAAACTGCAGAACTGGTAATAAGTTAATTGATCGCGGATTTAATGTAATAAGCCTTTGGACTGGAGTTTATAGAGATCTGAATGAACAGCAAGTTGACTTGGATGTGAGTCACAGAGCAAACCTCTAGATGATATTTTTGTTGTACTCATTCATCGTGCGTGACTATTCTGCTGAACAGCAACGTCTGCCCTTACATCTGCATGTGTGCACACAGAGAAAAGTGGCATTCCTTTTTTAAATGCAAACCTTATACAATTTAATAGAATTTTATTACTTTGATCTGAACATAGATGTGTTAGAAAATACTTTTTAATATGGCACAGTTTTAATATAAATATAAAACGCTTTAAATTAAATATAATTAATATATTTTTTACATGTACAAAATGTGTAGGGAATATTTATATTATATTATATTATATTATATATTATATTATATTTATATTTCATCTAAATATAAAAAAAAAATTAATTAAAATATGAAATATATTTTTAAATATATTTCCATTTAAGCATGAAACAAAATAATAAAATAATAAAAATAATATATAATAAATAAAATAAAATAAATAAATAAAATACTTGTATACGATGGAAAATGGTAATCTAAATATTATATATAATATATGTGTTAGAAAAGACTCTTTAATATGGCGTAGTTTTAATATAAATATAAATAAATAGATTGAATAAATTTAAACCGCTAAAAAAATATAAATTATATATTTATATGATTTAATATTTATATTTATTATCTTTATTATAATAATATTTATATTATTTATTATTGATATAAAATAATAAAATAATGAAATAAATCAATATAATAAATAAAATAAAATATATAAAATAAAATATAATAAAATATTTGTATACAATGAAAAATGGTACGTAAAAAACAGTCTCCAATCTGCATAAAAATATAATGCTAAGATAATTTTCTAATCTGAGTGTAACAAAAACTGAAGCTACTCAGTGCACTTTTTCTCTGCGTGTACATATACGCATATATGTATATATGTATATACATATATATATTTAAAATACTGCCCTGCATTCTGATTTTTATAGGCTTTTAATCGGCTGTGGGTAAATCCCCAACAGAAATTCCCCACGGGACTTTTTGTATAAAAAAACTGCAACTAAAATGGGAAACTTTCAGTTGAAATCGAACAGCCGCAAGATGAACGTGGTAATCTCGTGGGTTCTGCTGGCCATTAGCTCGTCATCATTCGTGTGTTCCCTGGTGGTGCAGACCGACCTGGGAGGCGTGCGGGGTGCCGTACTCACCTCCAGACTGGGTTCACCCTTCCATGCCTTTCGTGGCATACGCTATGCAGAGCCGCCGCTGGGCGCATTGCGTTTCCTGAACCCCAAGCCCGTGAGGCCTTGGTCGCCGAGTGTCTTCGATGCGACTGAGGACGGACCGATGTGCCCCCAGCCGAGGAAAAATCTCACCGACGTCTCCGAGGACTGTCTGCGTCTCAATGTGTACACAAGGGATGTGCACGCGCGCAGGCCGGTGATTGTGTTCCTTCATCCCGGCGGCTTCTATGCGTTTACGGGTCAGAGCAAGGTTCTGGCCGGACCGGAGCCCTTCATGGACAGAGATTGCGTTCTGGTGGCGCTCAATTATCGCCTGGGCAGCCTGGGCTTCCTGGCCACGGGCACTGCCGAGGCACCCGGCAATGCCGGTCTCAAGGATCAAGTGCTGGCCCTGCGCTGGATCCAGCAGCACATCCATCGCTTCGGTGGCGATCCCCAACAGGTGACCCTCCTGGGTTACAGTGCGGGAAGCATCAGCATTGGCCTCCACATGCTGTCGCCCATGTCGCGGGGTCTCTTTCATCGCGGCATCTGCATGAGTGCCTCGCCCTATGGCCAGACCAAATATCAGCGTACCGATCTGCTGTTGGCGCAGCGGCAGGCGAGGCTGCTGCAGTGTCCGCAGTCGCCTGCCAAGCAGCTGGTGGACTGCCTCAGGCAGAAGCCAGCCCTCGACTATGTCAGCACCTTCGATGACATGTTCGAGGTGGGCTGGAATCCTGTGCTCAATTGGCATGTGGTCATCGAAGAGGACTTTGGTCAGGAGCGTTTTCTGGTGGAGGATCCCTTCAAGACGGCCCTCAGGGGTGACTTCTACAAGGTGCCCCTCATCACGGGCATCACGGAATTTGAGTTTCTCTCAGCGGCATTGTGTAGGTGGCACTAACACAGGGCAGCCTCTTCCCTATGCTCTGGCTCTAATTTTCTCTCTCTCTCTGTCTTTCCTGTTCTTTCAGATGATTTGCGTGATGCGAACATCATTGGCAAATTCAACAGCGACTGGGAGCACTATGCCCCAATTGCATTTCTCTACGAGCGTGAAACGAATCACTCGCGTCACGCCAGTCGTGTGCTGCGTGAGAAATATTTGGGAAGTGTCCAGCGATTGGAGTATCCGCAATCCCTCAAGGGTTTGGGCGAACTCTATAGCGATGCCCTGATTGGTGTGTCCTTCAATCGCTTTGTGCGCCTGATGGCACCACACACGCCCATCTATGTGTATTTGTTTCGCTACAAGGGCCGATACAGCTTCCTCAAGAATCCCGAAAATCATCAAGCAATGGGTAGCAGTTGGTAATGGAATGAGAAATGGTATATGTTATATTGTGTACCCACTTTTCAGGTCCTGTACATCACGATGAACTCCTTTATCTGTTCCATGTACCGCCGGAGAGTCCTTTGTTCAGGCGTGAGGATCCCGAGAACCAAATGATTGAGCGCCTCACACGCATGTGGTGGGAGTTTGCGGCAAAGGGGTAAGAATTTTTAATACAATAAATTAATAGAATAATATAATATAATATAATATAATATAATATAATATAATATAATATAATATAATATAATATAATATAATATAATATAATATAATATAATATAATATAATATAATATAATATAATATAATATAATATAATATAATATAATATAATATAATATAATATAATATAATATAATATAATATAATATATTATAATATAATATATTATACAATATATTATTTCCACTTCGCAGGTGTCCCCACAACAAGAACGATGAATACCTTAAGGATCTGCACTGGCCTCTGTATAATGATAGAGAGAAATCCTATCTGGAAATCGATGCACAGTTGACAGCCAAAGCAGGTGGCTTTAATCTAGAGAGATATCATATCTGGGATGAGCTGTTTCCCATGCCCACGTCTTAGGCAATATAAGGGGCATATATTTGCCCGTTCCATAAAGGTTTATAAAACAATTGAGCAATTATTAAACTCAAATAAAATATACTGCATATATAAATCCAAACGCTTTTACTGCCACAACTAAAACAATACGATTTCTCTGGTTTGAAAATGTAACCCCTAATGGCACAGGTTCGCGGAGGGTGCCTAAAGTGTTCCGCAATGGGAAGTTCCACAGACCCAAAATACTGAAAATTTATCCATTAGGTTGTTCTATTTGTATCTGCATACATGTATCTGCTATCCACCAATCATGCTGGCTACTTAATTCCAAAAAAAATATACATCTGCAGCTCCTTAACGTACTTAACGAGAGCAAAATTTTCCTAGAAATTTTAATTTAAAACTTCCAAATTCTTTTTTGGCCAAAGCAAGCTCTGAAGAAATCCCTGTACTTCCAATCTGTGCAAACAAACAAACGAAAAACCAATGCAAAAATCTATCATGACTTCTGCAGAGAAATCGAGTATCTTCTGAATCGAGTAGAGGCAAAATTGATGGCAAAAAATGCTGAAGAACATAACTAACGCAAAAAGGTGACCGGACCGGAGGAACATTGAGTTCCTGTTGTAGCATATTTTTGCACCAATTTGCCATGCCAGTTGCAGGCAAAACTGCTTGTAAAAACAAGACAGATAGAGAGAGAGAGAGAGAGACAAAAATAGGAGAAAACAAAATAGGAAAAAAAAAGGAAAGTGCTGTGAACCATTCGATTTGCTTGGACAAGTCACAGATTCAGGATTCAGAATTCAGATCAACAAAAAAAATTTGTAGCAGCACAGACACATTTTGTGAAACATTTCTGTGACTGCAAATTGGATATGCTGACATTGCGTGAATAATTCGTTTGACTTGAGCAACAAAAAATGCAATGCAATGTCAATTAAACTGTGAATGAAAATACTTTTCAGACGGATGTGTAACGGCTATGCTATGGTGGGGATGAGTGAGATAATCAAGTGCTCATTAAAAACGCGTCAGACCACAAAACAGGACATCATTAAATTGTTCGCGTGGTGCAGGAGTGGTCATGGAGCCATTTAATGGAGATCAATCGTTGGGGATCCCACCAAGCCCCAAATTCCATGAAATTATCTACATTTGCATAGCAACAGACGCGTTGCAGGGGGGGCAGGGAGTGGAGTGGCAAGGACTAATGGCTATTTGGTAGCCACCATACCACATTTATATAGCTCATGAATTTTTGATTACGCATTTGGCAATGCGGCCAAAAACAGGAAAAGTCGAGAGCTGCAAACCAATCCAACGGAAGTGACTCCATGCAATTTAATATTACGCATACGCAGCAGCGTATGCAACTGATTGGCAGCGGTTAATAAATACACACACACACACACACAAAACAGACACAGACGCAGACACACAGAGAGTTGCAGACAGACAGACAGACACTCTGCTGCACCACGTACAAGGGCTACAACGGATACCCCCAAAAAAATATTTTGTATGCATTTTCCATAATTCACTGCACACGGGCATTCAGGCAATCGGGCAATCGAGAAGCTTTTGTGTGTGACCAAAAAAGCATCGCTATATAGTAAATACCGCGCGTTACACAATATCCTCATCATTTTGGTTGCAAATAAAATGCGTGCGTGTGTGGCAATCTCATGGGCAAACAGAGAGAGGCCAATCAAGAGGCAGGAAATCATTTAGAATTACACGAAAATATATACTCGTTTGGTGTATATTAATACCGAGTAAAGGTATGTTCTTTGCTATATGTATATTAAATTTTGTAGTACAGGATGAATATCTCTCAGTTTCCTAACAGACTTGGTTCAGGGTAACAGTGCTGTTAATATGCCAGTTTAACAGCCTGTTGTCGATCTTCTTTAACAGCCTCTTTCCGATCTTCTTTAACAGCCTGTGCGCGATCCTCTGTAACAGCTCACTGTTAGCGCTCTGAAATTCGAATCCGCTCTTCTGCATACTTCTTTTGGGCAACGGATTAATAAATAAATGAAAATGACTTCAAGCAGTGCATTTTAACTAAGGTGAGTCTTGGGGCTAGTAGGTAGAGTGCAGAACAATTTAAATTTTTTGGTTGGGCTGACTTTCTCTTATTTCTTATAGATAACACGAATGGCACGCGTATCTAAAGAGGAAGACAGACTTATCAGCTGTAGACAAACACACACACACAAAATATATTAATCTGAAGACGAAAAAGATGCCTTGGCGACAAGCAAATGTTTTTGACTGAAGATAATCTAATCAATCCATTGCAATGACCCCTATTGTTGGCGAGGAATATGGGTTAACTATTTTCCACAAACTTCAATGCGAAAGATAAGATTGAAAGAAAATAAAAGTTTTGTATTTAATAATACACAAAATAATCTATTCCAAATCATATTTACCATTTTTTATACACTGTACTCGAAGAGTTAAGGGTTATATAAGTTTTCTTTATTTTTGTATTTATTTGCCCACTTTCTTTACAGTACTTTGTGTGCTCCTCTCCACTAAAAGCCAAATTTAAATAAGAAAAATTATAATTTTCCTAGAGAGCTTCATTTATTTCTTATTTATTTATTTTATTAATTTATATTTTTTTAAATTTTTTTATTTATTTTATTATTTTATATTTTTTTCATTTATTTATTTATTTTACTATTTTATATTTTTTTCGTTTATTTATTTATTATCAAATACATTTTCTATGCTTGGTTAAAGCTTAATCCTAAGTCAATAGCTTATTTTCTACAGATTCTTTTGCTTTTGCTTTTTCCTCTCAGATCTAAGTCTTAGTCGAGCTATTGTTCGTGCAAGCTGCCACAGCATAGCCAAAATGAGTATCAGAGAGAGCAGAGCAGCACCCAGAAGGGTGCCAATAACATCCAGGCTGTGGTAGGTGAAAAAGTCGAGCTCCCTGCCAGCCACACGCATGTGGGCCGCGCCCTTGTGCCGCAGGATGTACTCTGTCCACCAGTTGGCCTTTGCCAGCGCAGCCATGGGCTGATCCCGATACCGATGGGCAGTTTCATTTGCGCTGACCGCAAAACTCTCCTCTGTGAGCAGGCGGCGAAGCGCCGACTTGAAGTCCGAGGCGCTCATTTCCTTGAGACTGAGCACGAGGCCGAGACCCATGCGCCGTATATGATCCATGTTCCGAAATTGATCGTAGAAGCAAGGCAGTCCCAGCATCGGTTTACCATAGTGCAGACTCTCCACAGTGCTGAGCATGCCGCCGTGTGTGATGAACAGTTTGACCTGTGGCTGGGCCAGCACAGCCTGCTGTGGGAACCACTTGCTGATGAACACATTCTCCGGCCTGCCCGGCAGTTGCTCATCCTCGAATTTCCACAGTACACGCTGCGGCAGACCGGCAAAGGTCTGCAGCAGCACCTGCAGCCGCTCTGTGGACAAACTGTTGCTCTGAAAAATGGTACCCAACGAGAAGTATATCACACCCGGCTGCCCCGCACCCTTGATGAAGTTCGCCATGTCCTCGGGCAGCTCCTGTGGCTGCTGTTCGTCAATGTGCAGTCCGGCAACTTCAATCACATTGGGCACATAGGGCCGCGGCGGAGCCAATGTGAAGTGTTGATTGGCCAAGATTAAAGCAAAGTTGCTGGCGATTTTGCTTAAGGGAACTTTATCGGCCACTCGACTGAAGTATTTGCGATAGATCTGCTCGTGCTTGGGCACAAATTTCCAGTGCCAATTGATCCAGGTAACGGCACGCTCCACAGCGTGATTTAAACGTCCAAAGTAGGTGTCACGATTCGGCAACTCACCCGTCGAGGTGGGCGAGTGCAGATACGAAATGGGTGACGTATTGCCCACCAATTGATCGATTTTCCAGTCTGTGCCGTACGGTGCCAGGCCAATGAGCGGTGCATCGAAGTAGCCGGCCAGGCCGTAGAGTGCATCCAAGCGCCACAGATCCACCACAATCAGATCGAACTGAGCCTTGCCTGGCTTGAGGATTTCGCGACGCACCTGATCGTTGTTCAGCACCGCCTTGCTGAGATTCACACAGTACTCGTTGCCAATATTACTGGAGCCCCAACGGGTTTTCGTTTTTGTGACATCGTTAAGAAATTCTGAAATGTTAATGAGGGTTACACAGAGGGAACAGGGGAGCTGCTGCAAGCCCAAGTATACCAGCGTTACCTTCCAATTTTACAAACACTTCGGGTATGGGAATGTCCCGAAAGTTCTGCACGGGCTGCTTCTGTGGGTACGGATTAATCGAGGTGACTTGATGGCCCTGCAGTGCCAATGACTTCAGGTAGGGCAATGCATAATAATAATGCGAAGGACTGGGTATGGGAAACAGCGCCAGAATGCGTGCACCCTCCAGGTAGTTGGGCAGCAAACAACAACAGAAGAGCAGGTAGCCCAGGCAGCACCAGCGCAGAGCGAAGAACATGATCGAAGGCAAAGGCACAGGCAGCCGTCGAACGCTGTCCCGAAACTGAGCCCGACAGCGCTGGACAACGGTGATTTTAAGGGTTTTGCTTGGACACAGAGCAGCAGACCCACAATGATGTTACTTTTGGTTTTCTTATAGATAAGCAACAAAGAATGCCATAAATTAAACAAGGGGATGGCCCTAAACGAGCGGGGGAGAGTCAGTCTGCAGCAAAAACTAATCACTGCCTGGAATACTATTTTTAGATTATTATTTGTATTTTTATTTGCATTTGCATAGTAGCAGAAGAAAGAGTAAGGCTACACTACGCTACACGTGTCAATCCGACACTTCCCGATAAGGCGGGCCGTTTAGCTTAGTTTAAAAGTTATTATTTAATACCCGAAAAATAGGAACTTTGCCCATAGTGCACTGTAAATCAGGGGCCAGCATGTGCATAAGAAAGAAGATCTGGGCGCGGGCAGCGCAGTCGGCGGCGTAAAAGCTTCGTGTGGCTTCGGGCATCGCATGCACACGAGCCATTGTTCGTGCTATTCCGCAGCGACAGCGAAGCGAGAAACGTTTTTGCTTTCGTCTCTCTCACAAACGCACTGAAATAAATGAGAGCGTCTGCCCGCCGATCCCTGTCATAAATCAACTGTACAGCAACTGCTTATCTGTTCCACAATTTGTTTGTGTATATTTTCCAGCACAGAATCAGTTGAGAAATCAAAGCCAAACCTCGTAATGCATTGTGTATTCTCTTTTATTCCAATATTCCGATTACTTGCTACTGTTTCTTTTGCTTTTTCGCCTTTGAGTGACCCAAGCCCGCCAGCTTGGCCAACTGCCACAAAAGAAACACCAAAAGTATTAGGAGCAACAGAGCAGCAGCTAGCAGGGTGCCCAGAACATCGATACTGTGATAGGCCCAGAAGTTCAGGTCCTGCCCAGCCACACGCATATGCGGTGCACCCTTGTGCCGCAGCACATACTCCGTCCACCAGATGGCCGTCTCCTGGGGACTCATCGGCTGATCGCGATAGCGGGCGGACATCTGCTGTGCCCTCTCCGCGAATTGTGGCTGCTCGAGCAGGCGCTGGATGGTCAGCTGGAATTCCTGCTGGCTCATTGATCGGTGATCGAGGCCCAGGCCAAAGCCCGCCTGCCTGGCCCGCTCCACATTCAGGAACTGATCGTAGAAGAAGGGCAGCCCCAGCACAGGTTTGCCGTGGTGAATGCTCTCGATGGTGCTGAGCAGGCCGCCGTGGGTGATGAACAGCCTGACCTTGGGATGGGCCAGTATGTCCGGCTGGGGGAACCACTTGCCGATGAACACATTCGATGGCCTGCCCGGCAGCTGATCATCCTCGAACTTCCACAGCACACGCTGCGGCAGGCTGGCGAATGTTCGCAGTATCTTCTCACGCGTCTCAACCGGCAGATCCTTGCTCCTCACATTCGAACCGAGCGAGAAATAAATGACGCCTGCCTCGCCCGAGCCCCGAACGAACTCATCCATGTCCTTGGGCAGCGGCGCTGGCTTGTGGGCTATGTGCAGACCCCCCACCTCGATCATATTGGGCACGTACGGCCGTGCAAAACTCAGCGAAAAGTGCTGATTGAGCAGCACCAGGGAGAAGTTGCGGCTGAGCGCCGTGAGTGGCACACGAGCTGCAGCCTCGGGCAGGTATTTCCGGTAGAGCTCCTCGTGCCTGGGCCTGTGCAGCAGGTTGTAGTTCAGCCAGGCAAGCGATGTATGCAGCACGTTGGCGAGCCGTTGCGGGTAGGTCATGCGATCCGTAAAGCCCGTCGTCGGCAGTGGAGTATACGACAGCGGTGAGGTATTGCCCACCAGCTCATCAATGTTCCAGTCAGTGCCAAAGGTGGACACGCCAATGAGGGGCGCATTGAAGTGAGCCGAAAAGCCATAATATGCATCCGAGCGCAAAGCTTCCACAATAATCAAATCGTAGTGATCCTTGCCGGGCGGCAGCAGTGTCTCCTGCACCTCCTTATTCAGGAACACGGCGCGCGTTGTGTCCACAAAGAACTTGTTGATGAAGTTATTCTCCTCCCAGAGATTCATTGGCACACTGACCTGAGTGATGATATCTAAAGCAAAAAGCACACAGCTAGCAGAATGAACAAAAAACACCATGGGGGCCATGGGGGCCCATCATACCATCATAATCGTCGAACACCTCCAGCACGGGTATATCGCGAAAGTTCTTCAGCGGCTTCCTCTGCGGAAAGGCATTGATCGAGGTGACCTCGTGGCCACGGCCGGCCAAGGCCATCAAATAGGGCCGCACATTGATGTACTGCGACGGACCCGCAAAGGGAAATATCGCCAGTATGCGCGCCGCCTGCAGGCTGCACAGAGGCCACAGCAGCAGCAGACCAAGCAGAGATTGCAGTGCCCCCATCGTTCCGTTGCCAGTGGAGACCAGAAATACACTGAATCGGCAGGCGTAAACTTTTTCTGTATATTAGAGACCCCATTAAATAAACCTCCCGTGCCCCACAGACATGCGATAACAATTTTTTTTTTGAAGAAAGAGGCGAGCGTTTGTGTAATGTGAGCATTTTTTGTAGGCAGTCCACACTCTAGCCGAGCCGCACCCCCAGCCCCAGCGTGCAGCCCGTGCAGCCTCCGCTCGGACAGCTTCTATAATATACGGAATGGGGCATGATTAAATTGCTGACAATTGCCTCGTGTCTCTGGCTGTCTATCTGTCTGCCTGTCGGTGTTTTCCTATCAAGCTCAAAGACGGAACGCGAGTGCGTGCAGTATCATCATGATAATGCTATTTAAAGTTGGGCCAAGATTAGGTATGATTAGGTTTACGGGGCTCTTATTACAGGCATGTTCCATGGAGAATATATGTATGTAGGTACTATCAAAGACTATAAAACACCAAGATAAAGCATCAGGCCAATGTTTCATACAACTGGAGGAAAATTCAATATATTTTTGTGATATCCTTCAAGCCGCGGCTGAGAGCGCGGCTCCGCTGCCTATTTGACTTCGTCTTTTCGTTAATGCCTGGGACAGCTGAGTCGGTGCCCAGCATTCAACAACAATATATGTATGTACACAGTCTTTAACGAGGTGCAGAAAATATTTACATTTCGGAGCGCAGAATCGAACAACAAACTAAACAATATTTGGTGGAGTTCAAAAGTCGATGCCAAGGAGGCTAAAAAATATATGTACGTTGCTTGGGACATAACATAAGCAAATTGTTGATAACTATAGCTATAATTTTTTAGTCGTTGGCACTATTCACATATTTCCCATATGTCGATATATCTCTTCACATGTCCATTCAATCCAGCCTATGAGTTTTAATCGCAGTTTTATTAGAATATTTTGCTCAGTAAATATTTAATGATAAATATGTATTTTGAATTATATATCTCAACCTATACATATTATACTCACACATGCACTCACACATACACTAACACAAAAGGTTTATAATATAAACTTTATATATTAAGAAACATATTCTAATAATGAGCTTATATATTATATTTTATGTATATTATTATTATTATTATTATTATTATATATTATTATATAATATATATTATATAACCTTTCATAGTAATAAAGTTAGTCGTTAAGCAGCACTCAATGCATTTTACTCGGGACACTACATTTAATATACATTTCATATGTAAGTATATTTTTTATTTAAATTAATTTTTAATTTCTTTTTAAATTAAAGGAGTGATATGTTGATTGTAAAACAAGTTTTAGACATACATATGCTATACAGGTTTAAAAAATTATAGCTGCTATAGAAATGTTAAATTTCCATGACACATTTTAATAAAAAAAAAAAAAAAACACTTTATAATATATTTAAGAAAACATTCATTAATGTCATAATTTAATATTATAAACATTTCGTACTATTGCAATTAGCCAAAAAGGAGTATTAAATGAAATAATTAAATTAAATAAGTACTCGCTTGCCTCTATTTAAGCACTCTTTTTTATTGTTTAAAATATATCTTTAATAAAATAATTTAAAAAACGTTAGTTAATCTCTTTTATATAAAACAAAATAACATAACTAATATTAATCATTATTAACAGCAGAAACAAAACATAATAAACGACCTCCGCTCACAATTTCTACTGTTTCTTTAATTTGTTCGGTGTGCCACGACGCTTGGTAATGACATAACACAAAGCTTCTATTAAGAGCTTCAAAGCGAACACAACGACGAGCAGCGATAGAACAGCGACAGCCCCAATCACAGCCCATGTGTCCAAGCCATGGAGCTGCATAAAATTCAGCTGCCGTGAGGCGCATCTCAAGTGTGTGGCACCCTGGTGACGCAGCACGTACTCTGTCCACCAGATGGCACGCTCCAGGGGCGTCTCCTTCTGATCGCGATACAGCTTGGACTTGATCTGAGCCGCCTCCGTGTACGTGGGATTGTCGAGCAGCTCGCGGATCAGCGACTGCAGCTCTGTGCTGTTGCTGCGCCAGAGATCGGCGGCCAGGCCATAGCCCGCCTGCTTGGCCCGCTGCACATTCAAATGCTGATCGTAGAACACGGGCAGCCCCAGCACGGGCTTGCCAAAGTAGATGCTCTCGATGGTGCTGAGCAGACCCCCATGGGTGATGAACAGCTTCACATTGGGATGGGCCAGTATGTCCGGCTGTGGGAACCACTTGCCGATGAACACATTCTCTGGCTTGTCCTCCAGCTGATCATCCTCGAACTTCCACAGCACACGCTGCGGCAGGCTGGCCAAGGTGTCCAGCAGGACTTTGCGTGTCGTGGGCGGCAGATCGGCACTCTTGATGTTCGAACCCATGGAGAAGTAGATGACACCATTCGGCGACTGCTCCACAAATGCCGCAATGTCCGCGGGCAGTGGCTGCACCTGGCGCTGCTGCTGCAGATGGAGCCCACCCACCTCGATCATGTCGGGCAGATAGGCGCGGGCATAGCTCAGGCTAAAGTGCTGGCCCAGCAGCATCAGCGCGAAGCTGTCCATGACCTGCTCCAGCGACAGCTGCGCCTGGGGGAAGTACTGGCCGTAGAGCTGCCGCTGACTGGGCAAATGTATCAAGCGCTTGTGCAGCCAGACGACAGCGGCCTCCCACACATTCCACAGACGCTCCGCGTAGTTCATTTGCTCGGTGCGCGATGACAGCAGCATGGGATTGTAGGAGAGCGGCGATATGTTGCCCATCAGCTCATCGATGTGTCGATCGGTGCCATACGATGAGATGCCAATGGTGAGGGCACCAAAATGCTGCGCCAAGCCAAACAGCGCCTCGTTCTGCACCGTTTCCATGATGACCAGATCAAAGGTCCCCTCCCCACTCGCCAGTAGATCCCGGACAGCCGCATCCTCCAGCACATTGGCGGTGAGCATATTGAGAAAGTCCGTGGTCATGGTCAGCATTTTCCACTGCCCGGCAGACTGACTGAAACCAGCAGCGGAGAACGCTACAAAAAATGATAATAAATTCTACAATCTTTTGTGTTTGCTTGAGGTTTTTTTTTTGTTTGCGTCTGCGTCTGTCTCTGCTCACCTGCCATCAGTTCGTGTATCTTTGTGGCGCCAATCACACGAAAGTTGGGCTCATTTTGATCGCTGCCAAAGGTGTTGATTACCGTCACGTTGTGGCCGCGTCGCGACAACTCCTTCAGATACTGCTCCGCGAATATGTATTGCGATCGGCCCGTAAATGGAAATACGGCCAAAATCTTTGAGCTTTGAACCCGCTGCTCAGCCGCTGTCACAGGCAGCAGTGCAAACAGAGCCAGAGCCAGACCCAGGCACAGGCACAGGCCTAACACAGAGCAGGGAATTATTCTCATGTCCAAATCGTTACGCCCGCAAACGGCAACTAATCGGGGAATACAAAAACCTTTGCCATATAATTATCGGCCCAAATTTCGTATCGTAGAAGTTCACTGAAGCGCGACATTAGAAGCATTTGTTTTATATATGTATGTAGATAATACATATGTATATGTACATATGTATGTATATTTATATATTTATTTATTTGTATATATGTATGTATATATTTAATCGTTTATCGTTCTACACATAATGAAGGCGTCGCCGGCTTTAGAGCTTGACAACATTGTTGTTTGTTTATACACAACAATTTAGTTGTTATGCAATCGCTGAGAGTATCTATCTCTCTTTCCCTCTCTCTCACTCTCTCTGGCTAGCATTTACTCTCTTAGAGTATCGTTGGCTCGTTGGCTCTCTGCCTTTGTTTATTGCTCTCTGCATTGCTCTCTCTCTCTCTCCATGTTACTCGTTTTGTACATTTTTAATCAAACAAGACGCTTTTCGTTCTATATACTATGTACTACATACATATGTATATCTAGGTATACCCTACACATAATTGAATTTCGATCATTTGAGTTCTGCTAAGGAATAATATTATAGGAATAAGAATGAGAACAAATGAAAATAAGATTATTATAATATATTATATAATAAAACTATTATTTATTATTATTATTATAGTAATAAGAATAATAACAAATGAAAATAAGATTATTATAAAATTTACAAAATAATAATACTTAAATTATATTCAATTATTATAATAATAAGTAAGATAATCTTCCATTCAAATTTCCGAAAAGGTCTAGGGGAATTATTTATTTATAATTTATATTATTTATTGAGTATATTTATAATTTAAAAGCGTTTTTTGTTGCGTTAGTTCAACCAGAAAAGGCACTGAGAATCTAATAGTAAAAACTATTTTTTTTAAATTTAATAACGCACTGAAAAAAGAATGCACTAATAATAATATATGTATGTACGTTCTATAATAAATAAAATATATTTTATTATAAGCTATGAAAATGTTTTATTAAAATATATTTTATATATTTTAAAATATATTTTAATATATGCTATGAAAATGTTTTATTTAAATATATTTTATATATTTTAAAATATATTTTAATATATGTATGAAAATGTTTTATTTAAATATATTTTATATATTTTAAAATATATTTTAATATATGCTATGAAAATGTTTTATTTAAATATATTTTATATATTTTAAAATATATTTTAATATATGCTATGAAAATGTTTTATTTAAATATATTTTATTTATATAATTTATATTACCATTTCTAGCTTAACGAAGAATATTTCTATTATTTCTTTACTATTCTATTTCTATCTTCCTAAAACCCTTTTAAGTCTTACCATCTCGTCTATATAATTACGAACCAGTTGCTAGCAGAAAGAAGTTTGCCTTTAAGTTATTCATAAATAAATGGCACAGGTATGTGCATAAGACATGTGTTTATCAAAAGTTTCTCTCTATTTTGTTGGCAACTTATAGCCAAGTTTTTGTTTTAAACAAATCAATTGCAAGAAACATTTCCCACTGATTAAACGTAGATTAAAATACACATACTACCCAACGCAGATTCGACTGACTGACTACTAATACTCTTCCTCGTACCGCATACCTCATACCCAATAGCAGAATAACACATGGAAACACTTTTAAATGCTCATAAATAAAATGGTAATTGAGATTAGATAGGGCCTGGGCCTCACTTATCATTCCATTGCCCCGGCTGCGGCAATCTAGCCAAAAGGTACAATAAAATAATTACAAGCTAAAACTACGCCGCTCGGATACGCAGTGCCAGTTGGGTCAACCCATCGAGGCCGTATGTCCACTTGGATAGAGTCACAAGGACAACGAACACCACAAATGCGAGACGCAGAAAGATCATCAGCAGCTTGTCCAGACAATAGTAATCGATGAGCTTTATGTGGGTGGAGGAGATGCGCATGTGACGGGCGCCCTTGTAGCGCAGCACATACTCCGTCCAGTAGACGGCCGTGTCCAGTGGCGGCATTGGCTGATCACGAAACCTCTTCGATATAGCCGCAGCATTTTGCTGATATTCTGGCTGTTCGAACATCCGCTCAATGGTCTGCCGTAGCTCTGCCCTGTCCAATGCATTGATGTTTAGACTATGGGCGGCACCCTATTCGACTAGCCGATCCACGTTCCGGAACTGATCGAAAAACAGTGGAAAGCCCAGCACGGGCTTGGCATAGTACGCAGCCTCAATGATGCTCAGCATGCCACCGTGACAGATGTACAACCGGACACTCGGATGTGCGAGTATCGCCTGCTGGGGCAGCAATGCACCCATGTAGATATTATCGCTGACATTGGCCGGCGACTGGCACTCGAATTTCCATATCACGCGCTGTGGCAGCGCCTCAAAGATGTCCAGCAGCACTTTCAGTGTCTCAAGTGGCAAATCCTTGCTGCTCATGTCAAATCCGAGTGCAAAATAAATCACACCGTGCGGCGCCTCATCGATGAACAGCTGCAGGTCGTCGGGCAGCGTGGGAGCCACGACGGGTATATGCATGCCCGCCACCTCGATCATGCCCGGCACACTCGGCCTGGCCGCAAACACACTGAAATGCTGGTTCAGCAATATCAAGGCAAAATTGTGACGCGTCCTGCTGAAGCTCTGCTCGAGATGGCCAAAGAAATGATCGTGTAGCTGGCGCTGCTGGGGCAGAAAGACCAGCTGCATGAGCAGCCACTCCTCGGTGATGTAATACCAGCTGTAGATGCGACTCCAAAGGCTGTCCACTGGCCGCAGTCCCAAGGGCAGCAGTGGCTCCAGCAGCGGCGACGAGGCATGTCCCATCAGATCACTCAAATTCCAATCGGCGCCGCATGTGGCCAGACCCACCAACGAGGCATTGAAATGTGCGGCCACCCCATAGATGACATCCGTTAGCGAAGGCTCCACAACGACCAAATCGAAGGTGGCATTCGATTGGAGCAGCGCACGCATCTGCACATTTTGCAGTATATTCAGTGAGGCTTTGATCATGTAGTTCCGGATGGCCTCCACCTCACGCCATTTGCTGGCGCGTGCTGCATACTGAAATTCCGCAAAGTCTGTCAAGGATTTAATTCATAGTCTGGCATCTGGTATAAAATATTTGACTCACCCGTATTGGCATTATGCTCGTCCATTACGCGTATAAAGCGCACATTTTCAATGGGTTGGCACATTTCGTAGGCATGAATCACCGTCAGCTGGTGACCCCGACGCGCCAATGCCTCTATATAGGGCGTCATCAGCAGACACTGCGAATGCACCTCAAAGGGATTGATGACCAGAATCTGTGCTGCCTGAGTTAGCTGCAACCACAGCCCCAAGAGCAGTAACCAACGCAGCGGCCTGAACATGGCCAGCGAGTGCTCCCTGGACGACTGACTAACAGACCAACAGCCCAGCGCAATTTTCGCTCACTTGCAGCTGATAACATTTCGGGCCATGAGTACTGCCAATAATTGAGCTGCTTTCAGTATCATTTTGAGCTGCGACATGTGCGGTTTGCGTGCCCAACGATGGTGAGGCGTCTGGGCTGTGCTGGTGTGCTGCTGGTCCTCCTGGCTGCTGCTCTACTCGGCCAGCAGACCGCCCAGACTGCCAATATATTGGCGGTATTCTCGTATTCATTCGGTTCCTCATACAATCTGGTCCGACCCTATATACAGCGCCTGGTGCAGCGCGGCCATCAAGTGACTGTGATATCGGGCCCAATTTCGTTTATGGCCGACATTGAGGGTGTGCAGCATATACGCGTGGCGAGTCTCAAGCAGCTGAGTGAAGGTACTGACAGCTCTGACAAAACGTGTGTGAACTTAACCCAATCCAATCCAATCCAACCCAAACCCCTACCCACAGAGCTCGAGGAATACGACTATGACACGGCCATACCCAATAAATGGTCGGAGGCGTCGTTTGTCTCCGATTACTTTTACAATTGCTCCAAGCTGATACTCGAGGATGGGGGCGTGCGCCAGCTGCTGCACAATGCCAGTGCCCAGTACGCGATGGTGGTGCTGGAGGCAGCCCACACGGATGCCCTTTATGGCTTTGCCCAGCACTACAATGCCTCGCTGGTGGGCATTGCGGCGTATGGCGGTGCCTGGAACATTGACTTTCTGGCCGGCAATTCGGCGCCCAGTGTCTACGAGCCGATGTCCGCGCTGGGCTTCGCCGCGGGCAACAATCTCCTTGAGAAGTGGCAGAATCTGATCTTCATCAGCGAGGAGCGTCTGGTGGAGCGATTCGTTTACCTGCCGCGTCAGATGGAGCTGTACAAGCGCTACTTCTCGCCGGACGCCAGCCGTCTGCACGCGCTGCGCAAGAAGTTTGCGCTGATTTTGCTGAATCAACATTTCAGTCTGGGTCGCGTGCGCTCCAATGTGCCCAATCTGGTGGAGGTGGGCGGCATGCATCTGGCCGAGCCGCCCGAACCGTTGAGTGCGCAACTGCAAAGCTTTTTGGATGGGGCCGTGCACGGTGCCATTTACTTTGCCCTGGCCAGCGATATGCTGGACAAATGGCTGCCCCCCAATATGCAGCAAACAATGCTGGCCGCCTTCGGTCGGCTCAGGCAGCGCGTTGTCTGGAAAACCAATCTACCACAGGTAGCCAATAAATCGAATAAATTGCACATGAGAGCGTGGCAGCCACAGCGCGCGATCCTGGCCCATCCCAATGTAAAAGTTTACATCACTCAGGCTGGCCTTTTGTCCATCATTGAGGCGTCCTTTTACGCTGTGCCCATGCTCTGTCTGCCCGTCTACTTTGATCAGGTGAAGAATGCCGAGCGTGTGGAACGTTTGGGCATAGCCAAGACGCTGGACTTTTATGCGCTAACCCTGGAGGGTGTCATCGCAGGCATTCAGGAGCTGCTGCACAACGACAGCTATGCAAAGAATGCCAGAGAGCTGGCCACGCGATTCAAGGATCAGCCCATGACGCCCATGGACACGGCCATTTGGTGGACGGAGTATGTGCTGCGGCACAAGGGGGCCGATCATATGCGCCTCATCGAGCAGGACATGTCCCTGATGCAGTACTACAGCGTGGACATATTCTCGGTGCTCTTTGGCCGCATCGGACTCACCGCCCTGATTGTGATCTTCCTGGGCTACACGGTGGTCACCGTAGCCCTGCGGTGCACCCAATATCAGTTCAGACTGAGCGTACCTGTGCTGGCCTCCTAAGCGGACCCTTTCTGATTGTTCCAGTTAGGTTTGCATACATAGTATACTGCTATGCACAGATAACAGCTGACGGTAATCGCTTGTTGGGTCTGATCAACAATAAATTTCCATGAATTGTTTGCCAAATAGAATGATAATGAAAATATCTTATCGGGCAATGCCAGGGTCGTTTTTGTGTTGACAAATTGGATTATAATTGAATGATTCTAACAAAGAACTACATTTATTCGCTTATTTACAAATACAAAGAAAACGCTGTGTTAATTTTACTTGAAAATAATTTGTACTCCACATAATTAATTTTAATTAAATTTTCTAATGTATTAAAGTTAATTTAAATAATAATAACATTTAATAGAGTTGATACGTTTTTATTTTTCGAATTGGCATTTTTTTCTTTTTATTGGCTATAGTTTTCTGATTTTTGCCGCATTAGGCTAAGGCAGCGCGGAGCCATATGGATCGTGAGAGCGCTAACAGTGCGCTGTAAACGGGAGCGCGCTCATACGCTGTTAAAGCAGAGAGATAGCAGGCTGTTAATGAAGAGTGATAACAGGCTGTTAGCCTAGGATTATCGGTAACAGCGCTGCTGCCCTGTTAGAGCTGCTGCTGTCCAGAACACCACCTTGCCACAGCATTTATCCACAGGTTTCCCTACTATAGAAAACCCCCTGTATTTAGCAAAAAATTAATCGCAAATCACAAGCATAGGTAACCTTTAATTTACACCATGTAAACGTATCTATCGATGCTTTAAGGTTACAAATTGTCTTACCTTTTTATTAACAAGCACACAATTCATATCCCAAACTCCCCATGGCGTTTATTTTTTTTAATAATTGCCGTTTTACCTCGAACTTGAACAAAGCAATTAAATCGAAAAAGAAAAAGAAAAATAAATGAAGGAAAATGGCTGACCATCGACCCACTCAGCTAACCGCCATGTATATTATAATTAGAAAAACTTTACCTCTGCCAGTCGTTATCTATCTGAAAACCTTTTTATTCCTTCATTCATTTCTTTCTTACTTTCGTTCTAGGTATTTTTTTTTTTGTTCGTTCCTTTTGGCTCCATAAACATAACCGCGCTCATTACGCATTTTACATCAATCAGCACGTGCCCAGCATGTTTTCAACTCTTTTTCAGCAAGATTTATCAAAAAAAAAAAAAAAAAAAAAAAGAAAAAGCAGGCGAAACCTATTTAAAAAAAAAGAACATTAAAATGCGCAGGACAAGCTGGTTGGAAAAAGTGCGCACAATTGCTCTCACAATTGCTGTGGGTAAAATAACCACAAAAACGTGTACTAGAAGAGGACCTGAGGTGCGCTCCCCTGGAAGCCACTGAAGCGTGATGTGCCCTGCTGGCTAAGACGGACCAAACAAACCCCCCGGCTACAGTGATCTATGCATAAAATGGTTAACAGCAAACACAGCCAGAGATATGGAAAGCTGCTTTTTTTGTTTGTTCAATGATTCCGAATGATTAGATAGGGTAATTGAAGAGAAGTCACATCAATGTTTGCCCTGCACTCAAGGCAAGTACAATTATTACACATTTGTAAGCGAATCAATGCCGCACTGTACTTTCAGTTCATCAAATTTATTTGCCTGCCATTCCGGTAATTGAAAACAAAAAATCTATAAAACGCGAAATTTACCCACAAAAATGTGCAAATTATTACGAAGCCCAAAAATAAACCAAGTCTCAAAATATATATTTACATACATATACTCCGTAGGAAATGAAAATTTTGTGTGCCCCAAAAAGTTGTCATGTTAATAAGTTTAGGCCCTCAAAAAATCAAAATGCGACCAATATTGCACTCAACGTGTTTGTCAATTTGATGTTTATTGCAGATTTTTATTTGATTTTATGTTTTTTTTTGCAGCATTTGAATTTATGTGCCAGGCCATAAACTGCCAACGGAGGCTAATCCAAAAATTCTTGTAAAATTGCCAAAGCGGGCGGGCTGGGGCTGGGGCTGGGTCTGGGTCCCTGGGCCCCTAAGTCAGACCATTTTTATTGGCCATTTGGCAGCGGCGCTGGTGAAACTTTTTCCCTTTTTGGCGTGGCTGTTCTTGCCACACTGCCACACTGCCACACAGCCACTGCTCTTGGCCAATACTCAAGTGGGCGGCTTTCATTGGCGCTTAACTAACTGAAATTAAGTAAACTTTTCTTTTGACTTTCATAAGCCTTTTAATAAGCCATAATCCCCTCTGGTATTATCTGGCCAACCCCCGCTGCCAGTCATGAGCGCACAAAGGACAAACTTCCACCCACATGCCGCTCCATAATAAAATCTAATTAACATCCCCCCACCCCACCACGCGTCCTAGGCTCGGCAAAAACCTCACGCAATAAAAATCATCAATAGTACGAAAAGAAGTTTATTAAAAGTGATTTTGCTCGCAGCGATCCCCTAGGGCCTAGCCGGATACCAAGAACTAACATTTTAAGGGCTGATTAACTTTATAACATACAAACACACATGCACACATACATGCATGATATAGGGGGGCAGAAGCACAGCTGCTACACTGGGCGAAAAAGCGTGTATGCTTTGTTATTTGATGAGCCAAGAATTTTGCCTTTACATTTGACATAAATATTTGCAATAAATATTATGCAAATATTTATGAAAATATTCATTAGGTAAAAAATATTTAAAGCAAAAATTATATTAGTGGATTTTATATTTCTGCCAGTGTAGACTGGTATTATAGTTTGCTGATTCTTTTCTTAGACAATGTCTCTCACAGACTGTCTGGCTCTTTCTTATACGTATACTCTATAAGAGGCATAAGTAGACTTTGAAGAGTGGTTTGGAACATCCAAAGGCGTTTCGTTTTATTGGTAGCAACAAGCTAAAGGCACAAAATTTTACAGTTTGGATATAACAAAAATTAAAGACAACAAAAAGGGATTTATGGGCTATAAAAATTATTTATTATTATTTATTATTATTTATTTTATTTATTTGTTATTTATTATGTATTTAATTATTTTTTATTACTATTTTATTTTATTATTTTATATTATTTATTTAGATTATTTTTTTTTTTTTATTATTACTTATTTTTTATTTCTCATTTTCTTATTTCTTTCAAATATTAGCAACTAAATTTATTTATGCTTAAAATTAGTAAATTTGCATATTTTAAGCCCGCCAAAAATTCAATTACAGAGCATTTTCCGTTTCGTTCAGATTGATAAGGCCTATAATTTTTATTTTATTTTCCTATGCGTTTTGACTACTTTATTTTCTTTTTTTTCATCCTTTCTATGTTATAAAAGTTATGCGGCAAGCTTTTAATTAGCGCCTGCCAGTCGTCAGCTTCGAATCCCTGAGCGCATTACGCATACGCAGCGTTGGCGCTGAGGCAGTGGCTGGGTCCTGGCTGTCACTGGGACCGCCGCTGGCTGCTCCGGGCACGATTTTAATTAATTAGACTTTTATGAGGCGTGCATGCAGCGGCAGTGGGGCAGTGGCTAAAGCAGTGGCACTGCCAGGCGTTGGGTTAAAGCCCAGTTATTGTTTTTTTTCCACACCCCATACCCCACATTTCGAGCATTTTTCGGTGCTTTTTGGCCTGGCCTAATAAGCGTTTCTTGTCGTGGCCACGTTTTCAGGGCTTAACACCGCCAGGGGCGCTGGACAACAAAATGTGTATCAAAATTTAGCATTTATTTTTGGGTTAGAGCGCGCGCAAGGCAGAGGCGCAGAATTCTGTGTGGGGGTGTGTACACACACACACACACATGTCCATTGGCCATGTCCATCGTGTGTGGTAATGAAAATTGCGGTGGCATTATGCTCAACATTTGGCATAATTGCAGTCCCTGGATATGCGTTTATGCTCAGAGATTACTTTTTGTGGCTGCTGGCCAACAGCACAGCACAGCACCAACCAACAACCAACAGCAACCAAATGAACAGCGTAATAAAAGCCAGACGATGTCGCCTTTTGTATAAAGAAATAAAAATAATTCCACTGAATCCATCCCCCCATTCCATCCCCCATTCTTCTACTGATTCTTTGTTGTGTGTGTTTCGTGGCTATTGGGTATCTTGCTTTGCTGTGGCTAACCCTCTGCATATACCCACTCCGCGCCACCATTTTTACACCATTCTCTACTCGTTCTGTGATTCCCCCTTTTTCACTTCTTTTTTTGCTGTTGTTGTGCTTGTCAGGCAAATTAATTTCCACTTGTTTCGTGTCGCCACAAATTTTTGGCGTTGGTTTCATTGTCGGACTTTATGATAGCGGAAGAAGCTGTAGAAATGCGACAACAAAATGGAGGGGGGGGGGAAAGATGAAGAAGCAGAAAGAATATGAATAAATAGAAAAGAAGAATGGAATATTTTCGTAATCTTTTCTTGATATGAAATAACAAAGAAAATTAATTTTTATATAAATTTGTTTATTTTAAAATTTATTTTTAGCGGCATAAAAGCAGCTGGAGGTTGGCAGCCATATAGGTGGCAATCTGAAAGACAGGCGTTGCCAGATGGTAAAAATTAATTATTAAGTTTATTTTTAAACTCCAGTAGAAGCGGCAGATAGATCGATTTTATTTTCTATGTTATGAATATCCAACACAAAGACACAAATAAATATTAAAAATAATAAAAAATAATAAAATATAAAAACAGTTGCAAAACAATTATTAAAAACATACAAATAAATATTAAAAAAAATAGTATAACAATTGCAAAACATTAATTAAAACACACAAATAAATACTTAAAAAAAATATAAAAACAATTGCAAATCAATAATTAAAAGACACAAAAAAATATTAAAAATATAAAAATCAGTTGCAAAACAATAATAAATAAATAAATAAAAAGTCTGTTCATTTCGTTATCGAAATCAGCGACCCGAAAACTAAGTCCAGGTAGAGTTACTTACGGCAAGGAGCATACTAGTATTGTTGTATGCTGAGTACCCAAGAAGCTGCCCAATGCAGCATTCTTTTCAGCCTTTTCTTATCTTTCCACTGCCACTGGAATCAGTGAAATGAATGCCGAAATATTGCCACTGCCACTGCATAAACATTCCCTGCCTCATGCCCCACACGCAAATAGGTAATTGGTCATTAAGCGACATAAATTAATTGGGATTTACTTGTGCAAAAACACCAAATAAATAAATAAAATATTTGAAAACATAAAACAAAACAAAACACAATTGCAAAACAATAATTAAAATGCACACGCAACAACTCAGCAGCTAGGCAAATACGAGTGTGTGATGGTAAAGGCGAATAAAACATACAAA